AGAAGATAATTGTATGAATTAGAAAGATTACCTCACTAAACCATTTGCTACTCATACAGAAAATTGCACTCATATCCATGTCAGATCCCTTGAAAACTCAATTTTCAGAGTTCGAGAAGCCTGCACATAAAGAAATATAATTATTATACTTACAGTTGCCTTCATATTGAACTTGGTTACACACAAATAAGCACATACAAGATTGTATTTCAACATCACACTTTTTTGTGTAACAGTAAACCACCAAAGAAAATTTATTTCTCATAACCCTAAGTGTTAAAATTACTATTATATTACAGAAGGACCGTGCCTGGGTGTTGGTTAAGATTGTTGGATTTGAACAACTTGGTTCATGGTGTTATACATCATGTAAGCATTGCTCTAGGAAACTAACCTATTTTGATGGAAACTATTATTGTGTCAAATGTAACTTGTCGGGTGCTGTTTTGAGGTACTCTCCATTTTCTTCAAAAATTACTTTTAATTTTTTTTCCAGGCTTCCTACTAAATATTACTTTAAAAAAATGAACCAGGTACCACTTAAAATCACATGTATTTGATGACTCAAGCAACCTTGTGTTGATGTTGTGGGATAAACATTGCATTCCACTCTTTGGAAAACAAGCAGAAGCTTTTTTAAGGATACTGTGAGGCTGTTAAAAGTATATGCACTTGATAACTCCGGCGACCTTGCGTTGATGTTGTGGGATAAACATTGCATTCCACTCTTTGGAAAACAAGCAGAAGCTTTTTTAAGGATAATCTGAGTCTGTTTCTAGAATTTGCAATAATTGATTTACATGTACATAGTATGATTTATAATAAAATATGTGATGAAATATTAAAAATCAGAGAGAGGATATTCAAATCCCACAAGCGTTTAACTCCAATGTTGATCAGCCACTGTTGTTCGAAATTGAAGTCAAACTGTCAGAATTGACTCTGAATGAAAAGAACTTCATTGTTGAACAGATTATTACTGGTAAGAAAATATTAGCCCATTCCACAACTGAATCCACTACCACACAGGTAATACTTTAATTTTATAAGTTATTACATCATTAATATGTTCTAACAAAGTATCATTTATTGTTAGGAATCTGTTAAGAGTAAAGCATGCAAATCTATGAATGAACAAGTTGATGTGTCTCCATGTAAGGGCAATACTGATGATGCATTTAAGTATCAAGAAACTGATGTGAACCCAAGCACTTCAAGCATTAAAATGAAAATATCAGTTCAAAAAGAAATCCAAAGTGAGTGTAGAGATTGAGAAATAGTGAAGCATGTTTACAGATTGACCCGATCCAAACAACTAAATCCCTTAAGTTAACCTGTTTTTCTGTCTTAATGCCCCTTAAAAAGACTACCATATTTTTGGTACCTATTTCCTAATTTTCTTACCAAAATATCATGTTAAGTGTTGTATGTTTCTCACTTATTAATGATAGAAACTTTATTCTTCCATATCACAATTACGTTTTGAAATCTTGCTATTCCTCGTATTAAGTTTGAAGTAGAAAACAACTTTTAGGTCTTATTTGTTGTCATTTCTATATTCCATGCACCAACACAGTCAAAAAATCAAATGAAATAAAAGTACGCAATAGGTTATTTCTTTTCAAATGCAGAGGACCATGAAATTAAGAACCATCAACATACCCTGTGAGGATACGAGCTTTCATATTTCAAACTCACACGTAAAAGGTATGTTGAAATTTAGATATCTTGCTCAAATATACTTAAATACATTGTCCTTTAAACCCGAAATCATCTACTACTTAAAAAATGAAACAGAACACACAAAAGAGGAAATCAAACCTGAACCACCAAAAACTACTGCACCGTTATTCATTGCCAATACCACTTATTGCCAATACCTGAACCTGTCATTTAACACAAATTAAAACAGAAACATACATTGAAAGGCCCAATTAATTTAATCGGAATCACTATTTGAACTGACTTGGATGAGTGCTTTTGTTACAAAAAAAATCATAGACCCATAAAAGAGCACACTCAGAATATAACACTTAACCACAAATTGGTCTTTTACAGAGTTCAGAATCAAAATATGACATTTATTGAAATGCAACTGCAGTGAACCAGAAGAAAAACTTTGTAAGAAACATTTCAATCCTACAAATAAATAACACACTTTTCAAGATACATAGATATTAATTCTTTTAGGCCTAAGCCCATATTATAATCATCAATTTGTGGTTTTGCACAAATTGAAAAAAAAGAAAGAAAATATATGTACAATTACACTTGAAGTGTAAATATAAGATTTTTCAATAGAAGAAATAAAATAAAATCTGATTACTAACAAAAATTATCTTGAAGGAATGACCATGCACATAATTTATGTTGAATAGACATTTAATTGATAAATTAAATCAACTTAGGCTCTTCATCTGCCATCTAAAATCGCAAAGAAAAATCTTGAAATAAAATTTTTCAAATAACAAGTGTTCAAATTTTTTCCTAGAAACTACACCTATTTATACCTGAGATGTTCTCCTTTAGGTGCGATTTTCCACAGATCGGGTTGCCCTTGATGTATAGAGAGCTCCTGCGCGGTCCGTGTCGTATCACTCGCAGGTATTAGCCGGCGATGAAACCAACACCGGCACTCTCCTCTCATTTCTCTCTCTTGTCTGAGACGAGACAATGTTGGATAATGGCGAGATAAGTAACCACGGGTTTACTTTATACGGAGTATATAACATTGTAATTAGGGACAAAGTGACTTAACAATAAATTGAGTTAATCCCTTCTTTTGAAAATAGGGAAATATGGAGCGAAGACTCCGAACTCAAAAAGAATCGTTTGTTATTATTAACCAGGTTTGACGAATTTTTTTTAAATTCAATTAATTTAAAAAGTTGTAAAGATTTTACTGATATGATATATTTATTATTCTATTAGAATATTATTTGTGTAACATAATTAGAAGACATTGTTCATGCTATAATTAATTCATCTTACTTGTGGGAAGATTGCACCGTTCTCAAACTAACAAAAAATATGCTTCTTTTAAATTATGATTTCCAGAAATCAAAAGAGCTGCAAGAATTCATAGATTGGATTGCAAGTATTTGAGATCGTAAGGCTAGAGGTCTAAATGATGGTGTAGCTGATATTGCATTTCCCAAAACTAACATGGGATGTGTTAGGGGTACACCAAAGGTGTACCCCAAATGTACACCACTTGCATCTACACCATTCATTTTAATTTTTTTTAATTTTTTACTTTTTTTTGAAATTTTCTTGCCTTTTTTGTGTGGTGATGGAAGGGGTGGGGATGTTTGGGGTACACTTTTGGTGTACCCCTAGCATTTTCCAACTAACATTGTAAGTTGTTGAAGCAGTATATGAATATATGATGTCAAAAAATAATGCAAAAGAACGAGTTTACTTTAGTCAAATACTCTTGTCAAACAAATATTAGCTATAGCTTAACTGATGATATACATTTCGATATTCCGCTAAGGCTAAGGCTTCATTCCGTTCAACTTATTTTTTCTGATCTCATCTCATTTTTTGTAGTTCTGATAAGATCTGATATGGTTTGATTGGATCTGATGTGATCTGATTAGATCTGATCTAATCTGATTGGATCTGAACTTATCTCATTTGGTCTGATCTAATCTAATTAATTATGATTTGATTTATAATTCAAATCAATAATTTGAATTGCCTTTATAATAACGTTTAAAAATTGTAATGATAATTCATATTATAATATAATCAATATTTTTATTTTATTACGGAGTATTATTTTTTAATAAAACGAAATTAGTTAATATATATATTAGAATAATCATTCATATTATAATGAAATAATTTTTTTTATTTTATGATTAATTTTTTGTGAAATGAGAATATTGATTTAGTATTTTAATAATTAGTTTATATGTACATTAGAATAAATATTTAATTTATATATACATTATAAAGTAATTAAATATAGATAATCAATATAGAGAAGACATACTATTTTTATTAAAATATATTATCCTTATAAAAGATCAAAAGTTTAGAAACTCAAATTATAGGTAGCAATAAAAATGTTATTTTAAAAGTAAAATAAGATTGACATTGTCAATGTATTTTAAAAATAATTTTTTATACGTCTAATAATTAAGGATTACTTTCTCAGTTTTCTATTTAACTTGTTTCTAAAGTTTATTTTTTTCATTTTTAAGAATAATAATGATAATAATAATAACAATAATAATAATAGTAATAATAATAATAATAATTCTTGAAGAGATCTGATCTGATTCGATGTGATCTGATCTAATCTGCTCTGGTCTGATATGATTTTCATAAAAATAAGAAAAATAAGAAAAAATAAGTTGAACGAAACGAGGCTTAAGTGTAAGAGTAGGTTGACTAGCAACTTAGGGAAAAAGTTTGTCAGGCCAAACACACAATTCGTTGGAATTACAACCAAGTCTGTGACATACTATACTGAGTCACTCCCTCGATCTCGTCCTAACTTTTTGTCTCCATTTTCCTCTTTTTGTACTTTGCTGATATTTAATTTTCATTGGTTTAAAAATAAAGTGTGTGTGTGTATACCTATGCTTTCTCTCTGTTCTTTTCAAAAAAAACGCACAAAATATCATCTTTTTAAAATCGATATAAATTATTAATCTCAAACAAAACTTAGATATTTAAAAACGAAACAAATGGTCCACAAAGCCAATGGTGACATGCCAGTTTTATCGCTAAAATAGAAATAATGTATCACTGTATAACTTAATTTTATAGAGTTATCAGTATTCGAAATACATACTCAAACGGTGACATGTCGGTTTTATTTTACTCGTATCAAATAATTAATTAAAATGATACACAAAAATAGTTATCATAAAAAACCTCGCATATTACAAGTTTTACGGGATAACCTTTTTTTGGTGCATGTATCACCAAGTGGAAAAAACGTAACGTCTTGAATAGAAATTGTATTGGAAACATTAAATAAAGGAGAAAGTAGAAGTTGTGTTTTGCAAAGAAAGCATGAAACCTACTAATAGGTACCCGTCCATTCAAAGAAGCTAAGACCAGTACAAAAAGAAGCATCTGTCCGTTAGTGGACTTTTTTATCTCCTTTAATTTGTTCTATGCGCACACTAAAATAAAAAGTGAGAGAAGAAAGAAGAAAGAAAGAAAGATGTTCCGTAGTGCAAAAATGACAACAAAGAAGATAGAGGGGGAGGTGGTTTTGATGAGGAAGAATGTTTTGGATTTGAATGACCTGAGCGCCTCAATCGCCGATGATTTCTCTGATTTTCTTGGCCATAAGGTCTCCATACACCTCATTTCTTCCGCTCCCACACCTGCCTCATCACCTAGTGATCCTAGTAAGTTTCCAATGAAATTTGCTCAAGTCAGTGCAAAATTTTATAATCGTACTGACATTTTGTGTCAATGTAAGTCATTAAAATATAAGTGTAAATCTTTGAAGTATATTTTAGGGTACAATCTTTGGGTAGGGAGAACTCGCGGATTAAAAACTATGAAAACAACATAATATGAGTTATAAGTCATTTAAACCAAGATATGAGTTTACACTATCATTTGTTACATTGTCAGACTCACCACATTGTCACATTGTAATTATCACTATCATCATCGCAATGCCATCCGTCGCCACCGCGGGTCGCCGACGATTGACTAATCACACTAATATATTACACTGTATCACTTTATTATTACACTATCAATGCGTACTATTACACCACTTGGCAATTAGACTCTTATTTTGATCTTAGAAGATTTATGACTCTTATTTTAATATTTTTATACTTTTTACTTATATCTAGAGAGATTTCTTCACTTATTACAGCTTTGAAAAATTTATGGTGGGGAGAGACTTGTGTACAACTTGATAAGAAAACTTTTTTCGTCTCAGTATATTCATTCAGTTTGTTTTTTGAGATCAAATTAAACAAATTTCAAGATAAATCTAATGAAAACTTTTATATACTATGATAAATGACATTTTTATTTAATTGAAATCTTAAAATTCTAAGGTTTGATTCTAAAAGGTTACTCACTCCGTCTCAAAAAGATATTCCTGTTTTATTTTTTATGTATCTCATAAAACACATCTACTCACAACTAAATTGACTAAAATTTACCACATTTCATTCTTTTATTGTGGAAAGAGATTGTTATGAATGTTTTTTTGGTCACGAGTAGAATGTTATGGGGTGATTATACTCAGTTCAACATTTTCATTTTAGAGCATTAACAATGGCAAGACAAAAATGAAATGTTATACGGTAACATGAATTATTTCAACCAATAAAAAATAACATGGTCATCGTGTGGCAAATGAGTGGAGTGTCGTAACTTTTTAATGATTTTTAATCATCAAAAATTATTTTACACATCTATTTTATTATTAAAATATGTTTACTTCTTTTAAAAAATATTTTTTCAAATATTAAAAATATTAAAAAAAAGAGAGATTCATATCTTGCACAGGGAATGAAAAGTGGAGTGGTCATGTAAATATAATACCATGATTTGAACGTTATTTGGTGGCTAGTCAATGCGGCATTCCTTGCCATGGGAAGGACCATGCTACAATTACACCAAAAAATATACCCCATTTGTACACCACAGGTTTGCACAAACATTTCGATGGTTTACACCGACATAAGTGTTGGTGCGTTAATAAAAATTCACACGGACACAAATGTTGGTGCATTTAACAAAAATTAATTTTACACCAACACAAAATGTTATGCAAAACTACACAAAATGTTATGCAAAACTGCGGGGTACAAATTGGGTAACCTACACATAGCATAATCCCCATGGGAAATGTTGTTAAAGAGAATGTTGTTAAAGGAGTTCATATTTTGCTTTGCATAATGAACTCCACAATTCACAGCAAATGGATCGAAAGAAGAACTCGGCAAGACGGGTTACTTGGAGAACTGGGTGCTCAACAACGCTCTTTTGGCCGACGGCGAGTCGGCATTCCGTGTTTCCTTCGACTGGACTGAAGATCTTGGGGTTCCGGGAGCATTCATCATCAAGAACAATCATCACAACGAGTTCTACCTCAAAACCCTAACCCTAGAAGATGTTCCCAATCACGGCGATGTCCATTTCGTATGCTTCTCCTGGGTTTATCCGGCCAGCAAGTACCACTACGACCGCGTCTTCTTCGCGAACCAGGTTTATGGATACAGAATTTATGCTACTTCGATTGATGTAGTTTTGATATGTAGTGAGTATATCAATTTTGATTTCTTAATTTTGCACAAATATTCATTCATTTCTTCTCAATATTTCCTAAGAATTGATAAACTCAAATTTATGGTAAAGATTTGTTTGGTGCCCTCTTTAGATTTTAGTGAGTTGAAACATTAACTTGACTATTGATTTAATCAATTCTTGCAGGCGTATCTACCTAGCCAAATGCCTGCGCCATTGAAGCAATATAGAGATCAGGAATTAGTGAACTTGAGAGGAACAGGAAGTGGTCAGCTTAGGGAATGGGATAGGGTGTATGACTATGCTTATTACAATGACCTCAGTGAGCCCGACAAAGGTCTCGAATATGTTCGGCCAGTCTTGGGTGGGAATTCGAAGTATCCTTATCCCCGACGAGGAAGGACTGGCAGAGCACCAACTAAAACTGGTAACTTATCTGCAGCCTTAATATGTTTACTATGGAGTATTTTCTTTTCTTTATCACGTCTTATTTCTAAAGTCCCCTTATTATTGCCTTGCCAGATCCTAATACTGAGAGCAGAGTTCCACTGATTCACAGCTTAGATCTCTATGTGCCAAGAGATGAGAAATTCGGATACTTGAAATTAGCAGATGCTCTTGCTTATGCATTCAAATTTCTTGCTCAGTTCCTTCACCCTGAATTTAAGTCTCTGTTTGATTCCTCTCCAAATGAGTTTGACAGCTTTCAAGATATACTTAACCTATATGAAGGAGGTATCAAGCTGCCGCAAGGTCACTTGCACAAAGTCATCACTGATCACATTCCCATTGAAATGCTGAAAGAAGTTCTCCGGAGTGATGGGGAGGGACTCTTTAAATTCCCGACCCCTTTTATTATTCAAGGTGTTTGAAAATCATTAGTTCACTTTCTTATAATGTGTTTTATCCCTTTCTTTTATCATACATACATTTCTTGTTCGTAATCTTCCTTTTGGTGCTGAAATAGAGGATAAAACTGCATGGAGATCGGATGAAGAATTTGGAAGACAAATGCTGGCTGGAACGAACCCTGTTATTATTTGTCAGCTACAAGTAGATTAATCTCTCTCAATGACTCAGCTATTTTAAATTTTTTCCTAATGAAAATGAAAAATATGGTGTGTGTGTGTGTATCGCACATTCAAATGTTCAATATTGATCCTTAAGTTTTTAAATGTTATAACTAAACTAGGAGTTCCCGCCAAAAAGCAAACTAGACCCTAAAGTTTACGGAGATCACACCAGTAAGATTACGAGGGAGCACATCCAAAAGAACCTAGGTGGTTTTTCAGTCGAGGAGGTAATTTAATATTTTTTTTGCTTGTACTTACTTTATAGAACCAATTTATTGTTTTCTTATTATATATTCCCACCGTCCCATAATTTAATGTTTGAACTTTGATTTCATGGAGTTTAAGAAAAATACTGAAAAGTAAAAAGTGAGTGGTTCAAATTTGATTAAAGAGAGAAAGATCTGAGCCACATTTTCTATTCTAAAATAGGAAATTTGAGAAGTGTGAAGTTTCTTTTGGGACAACCAAAAAGAAAGTGTGAATTTTATTTTTGGACAGAGGGAGTATTGAGTTAACAATGCCATGTTATTTTTCACAGGCAATCAACAATAAGCGGCTATTCATAGTGAACTACCATGACATGCTTATGCCATACTTGAGGTGCATAAATGAAACAAATAACAAGGTATACGCCTCAAGAACTCTGTTCTTTTTGCAAACTGATGGAACTTTGAAGCCAGTAGCAATTGAGCTCAGCTTGCCACATTCACTTGGAGATAAATTTGGTCTTGATAGCAAAGTGTACATCCCATCTGGACATGGGGTTGAAAATGGGTTGTGGCAATTGGCTAAAGCTTATGTTAATGTGAATGATTCAGGTGTTCATCAGGTGATCAGCCACTGGTATGTGCCTAGAATTATATTGGGAAAAAAAGTTGTTGAATATCTTAAGTATTCCTTAAATTCTGATTTTGAAACACTATCACAGGCTGAACACGCACGCAGTAATTGAACCGTTTGTGATTGCAACAAATAGACAATTGAGTGTGCTTCACCCGATATATAAGCTTCTGCATCCCCATTTCCGTGACACAATGGCTATAAATTCTCTGTCTCGGCAAATCTTGCTTAATGCTGATGGAATTTTTGAGAAAACACTATTCCCTGACAGATACTCATTGGAAATGTCTGCTGCTGTCTACGGGGACTGGGACTTCACTAGCAAAGCTCTCCCAACTGACCTTGTTAAGAGGCATGCCATTATTCCCTTAAAAAATATGCCCTCTCTCACTTCTCTTGGTATTACAACCCTAAATTAAGTGACAGGGATTGTAAAAGAAAAGTTTTTTAACTTGCGGCATTTGATGTTTCAGAGGTGTTGCTGTTGAGGACTCAAGCTCCCCACACGGTGTTCGCCTACTGATAGAAGATTATCCATTTGCAGTTGATGGTCTAGAGATATGGTCATCTATCAAAACATGGGTGGATGAATACTGCAAGATCTATTACAAATCAAACGACCTTGTTCAGAATGATGTTGAACTCCAAGGTTGGTGGAAGGAACTGAGAGAGGAAGGACACGGTGATTTGAAAGACATGCCATGGTGGCCTAAAATGCAGACAGTCCAGGAGTTGATCGACTCATGCACTACTATTATCTGGACAGCCTCTGCTCTTCACGCAGCTATCAACTTCGGACAATACCCTTATGCGGGTTATCCCCCTAATCACCCTGCAATAAGCCAAAGATTCATGCCCGAGCCTGGATCTGCTGACTATAAGGAGCTTGAGGTTGACCCAGACAAGGTTTTCCTCAAAACCATCACCCCTCAGCTGCAGGCATTGCTTGGCATTTCCCTTATTGAAGTTCTGTCAAGGCACACTTCAGATGAGGTGTACCTAGGGCAAAGAGAGTCCCCTGAGTGGACAAAAGACCAGGAAGCACTTGATGCATTTGCACGATTTGGGAAGAAGCTTCGGGATATTGAGGATCACATATATAAAATGAACAGAGAGGGGAAACGGAGGAATAGGACCGGACCTGTGAAAATGCCTTACACCTTACTCGTGCCTACAAGTGAACCCGGTCTCACTGGCAAAGGTATTCCCAACAGTGTCTCCATATAGAGCTTCTTCAATTATGTGTGTATGACCACTCTTGAATGGTCTATATGTGTGCTAGCTTTATTTTAAATAAATTTGTCCCGTGAAAGCAGTGACGTGTTTGTGAAGAATGCAAGTGAAGAATAAAATTATCTCTGAACGAGTAAAAAACCTCAAATGGAACACATTGCCATTCTATGATTTATCTTTATAAAAAACACTGTCACAAAAATATTATTTGCTATGAATGATCATGTCAAGCGTGCCTGCAAAAATGCTCACAACCGTAGAAATCATTTGTCTGGTTATGTGGGGATCTGGAGAAATGTTCTTATATACGGAGTATATCAACTTTGGTAAAAGATAAGAGCCCGGTTCCATGGCCACTGGATTCCAGTGGCCACGGAAGTCACTGCTCCCCTACGGAGCTCCGTTTATAAAATTGATGATTTCTACCCCCGCCAACTTCCGACCCAATCTAATCACCCCACCTACGTCAATTGCACCTCATAAGTATAATTGACTTTAAAGTCAAAAGTTTTGACTTTATACTTACGAGGCGCAATTGACGTAGGTGGGGTGATTAGTTTGGGTCAGAACTTGGCAGGGGGTTTACCGGGGGGTTAGGAGGGGTAGGAATCATCAATTTTATGAACGGAGCTCCATAGGGGGCAGTGGCTTCCGTGGCCACTGGAATCCAGTGGCCATGGAACCGGGCTCAAAAGGTAATTAATATTTTGAAAGAATTTATAAATCTAACAATCAAACTTTCACCCATTGGCTATTAGTTTTTAAGTTTACAATACAAATTTGCACAACAAAGATCACAATAATCATACTACCAACTCATTTGTTAATTAGAAATTGAGTTTGGCAGATCCTGGTTCAACCATTGAGTTTGAACTTCTTTGCATAAATCGAACAAGTGGTCCACAATTACAGTAGTGATTCTTAGCGCAAATACAATGTTTGTCACCACAATCTGAATCCTTAATGCACGTAGAAGGAATATTCCTAGCCCTAACTTTTGGTACCATATTTGTGAATGTCAAAAGTATTACGGAGTATAATTCTAAGTCAATCCCATATAAAAGATAATATATATAGCCATTTAATTAAATAAATCAAATCACCTAAAAAATGTCACTACAATAATCATGAAAAGTATTATATTTACATGTTACTTTAGAAGTATTTACATGTTACTTTAGAAGTTAGTTTGTTGATCCCATTTGTATATTCTCTACAACTCAATGTATGTTGGAGATGCTAATCTTCAAGATGAAATTCAGCTTCAGTTGAAAAAATAAAAACATCTAGCCTGAGAAAAGATACACCTAATGTGTGGTAATTATAAAAAATTATTCAAGAAAATGTTAATATGTCGAATTATGTGTTACAAACGAATACCCAAAATGTATTTTAATTTAAGAGTAAATTCCATAATTGGTCCTTTATAACATAGGGATTTCCATATTTAGTCCTTTATAATCAAATATTACCCCCGTAGTCCTTTTTTTAAGGGTATTTTTCCACAAATGGTCCTTTTTTTGATCTTCTGTTGTGTTGGTGTTAATTTAAAGGCTAAAAGTATAATTTGACATCAACATTATGTCTAGTGACGTGTTCTGATATTGGTTAAGCAGATAACACAAAAATAATGACTATGATTGTGGGCTAGGATTCTGATGAAAGATCACATTTGTAGACTATCGTTGTCGTAAAAAGCGACTGTAATTCACAAACGATGCAAATGAAACAACCTTTGGAATTGTGTATGACAAAAAAGATATATTATCATTGTGAAATTACACTTTTAGCCCTCAAATTAACACCAACATGATAGAAGATCAAAAAAAGGACTATTTGTGGAAAGGTGCCCATAAAAGAAGGACCACTGGGATAATATTTGATAATAGAGGACTAAATAGGGAAACCCCCCTGTTATAAAGGACCAATTATAGAATTTACTCTTAATTTAATGATTTCTAATAGTTGCACATTTGCACCTTCCGAAAAGTGAAAATTAATAGTAGGAACCATGGTAGTCAAAATCGCGATCCGGATCGTACGATTGTACGATTTTAGAGATCGCTAGGGGGTTTTCGATCCAACTCGCCCTCAAAATCGCAAAAATCCTTTGGGTCAGAAGAATCGCTGATCTGGTTCGTGCAATCGCAGGAAATCGTAAAAAGAAAAGAATCGGAAATTTGAAAAGCCCTATTTTGGTGTTTTGATTTTGTTGATTTAGTCGCTTCAATTATTTCGCAACTTCCAATTTGAATCGTGATGATTTCGCGACTTCCAATTCGACTATTTTGTCGCTTCTAGCCTTCTCCCTTCTAGCGCGGCAAAGCTTGTCGCCCTGCGCATCTCCTCCGCGTCTCAATTTTTGCCCAGATTATATTTATAATTTTTAATTATATATGAGTGTGGGTTATACTCTAATATAGATTATAAAAGGGTAAGTCATTCGTGATATCCAACTTGAACTATCTCCCCCTTTGGCAATTTTTTGGCAAAATACTTCGTGCACCATGCGCATAAAAGATTAAAGCATCTTTTAAGAACTAAGCCTTTTCTCCCCCTTTTTGACACAAAATATGCCAATCTCATTAAGGGTAAAAAAGAAAAGTAATATCAAGTTCTTTTAAGAGCATACAACAATCACAAGCGCAAAATAAAAATAAAATCTACCATTACGATCCATGCACGTACTTCCCATTTGAATCTGCTGGAGCTTCATCCTTTTCTGTAATTTACTCCCCCTCAGGATTTGCATCAATACGACATCTTGCTTCAAAAAGTGTGCTAACTCTTTAAGAGATCACCATGATTTGTTGTAACGAACCACCAAAAGATCAAGCTAATAACTTAAGCTTAACTGCTCTGATACCAATTGTAAGTTCGTGGGGGGCGCAGCGAAAATCACCAAACATGAGCTATGCAAACAAAACAACCAGCTATGCTGCAAAGAAGATGTTGCAGCACTGTCACAGTAACAGATGACAGACAGTGTGCTATAACATTTCTCTGTCACAAGCACGCACACAGAAGCAGATGATGCAGAGAGCGTTACAGCGCCTACTGGGCAGAATGTTGTAATTGTAAAAAGCGTAAAAAAATGACACCAGATATGTTTACGCAGTTCGGAGAAACTCTCCTAATCTGCGGGGCCCACGTCCGTGTAATAGCCCTCCACTAAATCACTAGATGCAAATTACACCGGTACATAACAATATGATGAGACACACTTCTCCGAATTGTTATGACAAAACTTCTAATATAGGATTTCTAACCCGAACTCTGTTCAGATCCGCTTCGGCTATCACATCTCCACCGAGATCACGAGGACAAACGTGTTGGCAGCCCTCTCCTTAAGATCTGGTTCATCTCATGGTTGTCACGATCTGTTCGGCGTTGAAGATCTCCTCCTTCATGTAGATCGTAACCTTCTTCACGCATGGGAAGCTCCGGGACGCGACGGGAATGCTCTACATCAGCGTATATTCTTTGTTTTCCCTCTCAATCGCTCCAAGTAATTCCCAGGGACCAGCTGCATTTTTATAGGCTCCTCTTAACACAATCCTAGTAGGAATAGGATAGTAGAAGTTGGCTTGAACTCTACTTCCTTAATCTTGATCCACAAGTAGCCTAAAGAGTTGGGATTCCTTAGCATGTACAGCTGGAGTTATTATCATGTAATCACAATCCCAATAGGTCTCTAATTCAGATTCCAGCTTAAAATCTCGTGCTCAGACCTCTGATCCCGAACAGTGTGTTGCAGCATCGTGCTGTAGCATCTTCTGTGTCAACCTTGAAAACTGCAGCAACTCTAGAAACATAAACCTCTCCTAACAAATAGAGGTTTCTACCTAGTAAAACACCTAACAAATATGGAATTCTATTTTGCCAAAAGATTAGCCAACACCATGGAACTAACAACTTGAACTTGTGTTATGTTTTATTAAAATTTAATTAACACACATACACACACGAATTAAATAAAGTGCGCGGGAAAGACTTGTGTTGATTTGTGGGGCCAGTCTACAAGCCTATGAGCATACACTTACGACCAGGGTGGGTTTGAGTGTTACAAATGGTATCAGAGCAAACCTGCGACCATGAGGAACCAAAAGATCTTAGTTCACCCACCAGGGAAGATCTAGGGGTTTGAAAAAAAAGGATGCAACGAGGACGTTGCATTCTTAAGTAGGGGTGAATGTAATAAACTGTATTAAGATGGGAATAGGAAGAACTCAAAAGGATTGATAGTACTACTCATATTAAAAGGTGCATCTTCTTTTCGAGAGCTTATCACTTAGATACTCCAAAGTTAAGCGTGCTTGACTTGGAGCAATTCTAGGATAGGTGACCCTGTGGGAAGTTCCTTGGGCACGCACAAGCGATGACAAAGTGCGCGGGAAAGACTTGTGTTTGTTTGTGGGGCCAGTCTACAATCCAATGAGCAGACACTTACGACCAGGGTGGGGGGTTTGGGTGTTACAATCTCTATGTAGTATTTAATCAAAATACTACAAAAAAAGGCCAAACATTTGATTTAACTTAGATGGCTACAACTTTGAATCTAGACGTTAGAGGTCCTGGGTTCGAATCCCTCTACCCTTATCTTTTATTTTTGTTTTCGGATTTGAACAAATTAATATTTGGTCGGATTCAGGTACTTGACCGGTTTAAGATATTTAATCGGATTCGGATATATCCAAAATCGAAAAATATCCGTCGGTTACAGATTCGGATATAGAAATGTAAATATCCGTCGGATACGGATTCGGATATTCCAAAACTTAATCGGATTTGGATTCGGATATGCCATAACCGTGACGGATATTATCCGTTTAGAGCCCTAAAATATTATAGTCATGTCACATCTTATTTTGTTGATCTTTTGATGTAATTTTTAAATATGTAACTTTTATTTTTTAATTTCACACCTTTTTTCATATAAAGGGATTTGAAAATAAATTCAGTCAATTGTCGTAACTTACAACGGGATGATAATTCTTAGACGAAAAATTCTTTGTAGTTCTTGTGTCCATGCTCATTTTATGAACCTTCACACATAAAATCATTTCATGTGATGGGCATAAAACTAAGGTGATTCAAGTATGAGCCCGTTGAAAATATGTGATAAGGTTCACATTTTACATGTTGATCTAAAGACCACAATAGCACAACGCTCTTTGGTTAGAGGGAGTAATACCAACGATGGATACATAATGTATGATTTATTGTTTTCCCAACTTATACGAAGTAATAATAAATGGCCAACAACTTTCCAATTGGGTTCATAAGAAAGTTTTTTAATGTATACATTATGAATCTCTCATTGTGGTTATAAATAGGGCAAACTAAAAATAAATATACTCCAAAAACTTTAGTCTCAAAACACAAATACTACTTTCCAACAAAACAATCTTCATGAATTCTAAAATGATATCTCTACTCTTTGTTCTCATGGTGGCCGCAGTTCGTAAGTAAATTATTTTATATAATGAATAAAATAAATTAAATAAATCTAATTTGTAAAATTTCATTAAATCAGTTCCTTTGAAACAATGCATTTCGTGAAACGCAATTCTATGTCTATCCCATAAAAAGATTTAGATTTGCCCCTTCTATTAATATTCACTTTTGGTTAGGTGCTAGTGTCAACCTATTGGAAAGCATTAAATTTAAATACATTTTTTGTGTTTGTTTTTAACATATAATTTGACACATTAACTTTTTTTTAGAGTAATTTGTTATAATTACGACACACTTTATGCATATCTTTTTTCGCAATGGAGGTAGATGTTTTTCAACTTAAACCGAATTCTATCATTAATGAATAACAACCATCTCTAATTAACATACATTGAGTTAGAGAGAATATGAAAATGGGATCAACAAAATAAATTTTGAAGTAACATCCTTATGTACTATTGAATACGTAACGTAAATATCTTCTATTGTAGCGATATATTTATTTTAGCGATTTTATTTATATGTATATATATTCAGTTATATTTTATATGAGAGCGAATAATAATTACGAGTACAATATTTTTGACATTCACAGATATGGTCCGAGAAGTTAAGGCTAGAAACCTTCCTCCTCCGTGCCTTAAGGATTCAGATTGTGGCGACCCACATTGTATTTGCGAAGGAAATCACTATTGTAAAAAAGAAGGTGATTTTACTTTAAAAAATAAACAAATAAAAATATAAAATCTACCGGTTTGGAACCGGACCAAACCTGGAACCGATCGGTTCCAATACCTACCCTACGACCCCGGGACCGGTACCGCCATCTCTGTTCTGATACCGGTTTCCACCCCTCGCCTACCGTTGCTGTCATTAGTTCAGGTGCCGGAACTGCCGATATTGATTCCGATACCGGTTCGAAATCGGACCAGTGTCCACCCATAGTTTGGTTGGAGGGAAGGGGAGGAAAAATGAACCCTACCCTCGTGTGATCTAAAAATGAGCAAGGGGAGGAAACTTCATTTTTTGTCTCTCATTCCGACCCCTCCCCTTCTTTTCATTCCTTCAAAATTGGAAGAATTGCCCAGCTCTTCCGTCTCACTCTTCATCATCTCACCCTCCATACCTCAAACTCTGTCTGCAATTATGAGATTTTACAATTTTTTATCAGAAACTTTCAATTATACACAATAATTGAGTGCATTAGTATTTCAGATTGTTTTAAATTATTCCAATTTTGTGTGTGTATGTGTGTGAGGTGAGTTAAGAGTACTCTCTTAGCATAACGAAGTACGATTAATTTGCATAATGCGAAAATATTACAGTTGGGTAAATTTCACCAATGATACCTGAACTTTAGCTGGAATTTTGAAGTGGTACCTGAACTTCAAATCCTTTCACAAAAATCTCTGAACTTACAAAATCCTTCCACTAATGAGCCATTAGCCCGTTTCTAGGTTAACTTCCGGTCATTAGGGCCAAATTCGAATTTTATATATTTTAAAATTTTCAATTTGACCACATTTCTTCTTTTCTTTTCTTTCAGGCTCCGCCGCCGTCGCCCGCCGGTCAAAGTCGCCAGAAAATGAACTTTTTCCGATTCCGGCGGGACCAATGTCATTCTCTTCGTCTTGAGACGAGGATCAATAATATTCAAACCATTTTGTCTAATTTGTCCTGTAACTTCTCGAATCTGAATTTTTCTACTCGAAAAAACCCTAAAATTCGAAATTGGGTCTAAAATTGGGAGTTTTGCAAATCGTCATCAAATCTTGCAATTGAAGGGTCCTTGGAGGTCGCCCGGATGCCACGACCACATTGGAGTTGGTGCCCGCCGTCAATTTCGCCGGAATTGGCCGGAAAACGCTCCGACCCGCCGGAAACCGCGGCGGGGCCTGGAAGAAAAGAAAAGAAGAAATGGGGTCAAATTGAAAATTTTAAAATATATAAAATTCGAATTTAGCCCTAATGACCGGAAGTTAACCTAGAAACGGGCTAATGACTCATTAGTGAAAAGATTGTGTATGTTCAGGGATTTTTGTGAAAGGATTTGAAGTTTAGGTACCACTTCGAAATTCCAGCTAAAGTTCAGGTACCATTAGTAAAATTTACCCTACAGTATTTGAATGAATTATTTTGAGATGTAGACTTTTTTGTATAAAAAATGACTTTATGTTTTGTCAAGCTCAAATTGAAAAAAATAACTTGTCTTACATTTAAAATGTGTATTACAATATATTTAAATTGAAATTATATGACCAAACAACAGAATATTAAACTTTCTTTGCCCCCTCCAACCAAACAAGGTGATAAGCCCTCTCTTCCCTTCCCATTTTTCCCATTCCTCCATCTTTGCACAATCTGGGAATATTTGTGCTTTCATGATCCTAAGGTCCATATATGAAATATAGACCTTCTCACATTTTTTATGAGCAGCCATGTAGATTTGTTATTTTTTTCAAAATGCTCAATTCTCTCATACTCTTATAGTATTTGTAAATAACTAAGGTCCATAAAATGAGTGTAGACCTTAGAACTACAAAAGAATTTGTCATTTGGAAATGATAGGCCAAAAGGCGGCTAACCGCTAGAAAATTATTAGTGCTGACTCGAGACTTGTTGAAATAACTCGCATGTCCCTCTACTATCACAAAAACATCAGAGGCCCTTACATTTTATTGTATCAGTCTGGGAGGGGATATTTTGTCAATGATCGTTAAAAATGTATTTTGACAATTTTGCTCTTAATGATTTTGTGTTAGTAAAGCTCAAAGCCTTCACTTTTTAGTTCTTTTCTTCACTTTGTTTCCTTTTTAATTAAGTTTTCGCAATTTCTAATGTAAATATTTTTCAAAAATTCAAAATTGTTTATCTAACATAAAAAATAAAGCTAATTTAAATGACTACAATAAACACAAAATGAGAAAAGTAGATTTTCAATAAGTCATTAAATGAAATAGTTGATAAAATATCCTCTTTCAGTCTTTACAATAAAATGTAAGATTTTATAATGTTTTTTTAAGAATAGAGAGACATGTAGACCTAGCAAAACACACTCGAACCGAATAACTCACAATCGAATCCGAAATAGCTCAAAAACTTAAAAACTAAATTAAACCTGAACACTCGAAAGATCCAAACCGAACCGAATGTATTCAGATTCGATTCAGATTGGAATCCGATTGAACCCGAACCGATTGGACCCGAACCGATTAGACCCAAAACCAATTAGATCCGAAACCGACTAGTCCCGAAAGTGATTAGACCCAATATCGATCAAATTCAAAACAAATGAAACTCCAATCCAGTCAAATCTAATATCTCATTGGTTGATATCTTTTTCAGAAAAGCATATTTAAATTATAGATGCAACTAATTTCATGTACAAATCTTTTATTCCATATTTTATCACTTAAACAGAGGTCGTTATCTATTTTATATAGAGTAAATATAATTTATAGTAACATCGTAACACACAATGATGGATATCTTGACTCATTATTGCTGACACGTGTATATATACTGCCCTATACACACAGGGGGAAAGGATACACAGAAGGCTAACATTAGAAATTTTAATACCAAAGGAACTCATTTGAAACCGGTATAAACCTGAACCGGTATAAACCCGAACCGAAATAAACTCGAACCAAAACCCAAGAAAATCAAACTGAATTAAACCTAGAACCAAATTGCACCGAAATGACCCGAACCGGTTATATATATAATCTGAAAGAGATCTGAACCGAAAAGATCCAAACCGAAATCGAAGCAATTGACCCAAATTGAACCGACCTAATCAGAACCCATCTCCCGTCTCCACTACCTCCTCTTTCCAATGCGGCCTTGCTAACTGCTGAGAAGTGAGACCGACCAATAAGCAAACGCTTTAAAAGTTAAAACACACCCCAATTTGTTTCTACTTTTAGCGATTCTCAATGGCGTGTTTGGTCTCCATTAACGTCTGTGCGTCTCCGCCAAGCCCAAACCCTCCGGTTCAGGTAGTCTCGGAAACCCTAAACGCAGCTTAGAATTCCTCTGGTATGACAGAACTTAACCATCTGAGTAGGTATCTTCTTCGAGTTGAAACATTGAAGGGAAAAGCGTTGTAGCATTCTCTTTAGCATCTAGTTGCTTGTTCTTTCCAGTTTTGCAGTAGCATTATTCGATGATAATGTAAATAGCGTTTATCTGTTAATGGATTGATTGGCCAAAGGGTGAAAATGTTTTTGCCAGTTCCAAGTGTGGAGAAGGCTCATGTCTGAAGATTCTGGAAAAGTGGAAAAGAAAGATGACTCAGATCATACAAATTCTAGGTTTATTACTCAAGAATCTGCTCTAAAACAAATAATGAAAATACTTGGGGGACCCCAAAAATTTGACCCCAAAACAACACCAAGGCAAACGCTCAATGCCTGTGCGTGTTTGTGTTTGCCTTGGTGTGCACTTGGGGTCAAATTCCTGGGGTCGCCCTAGTACCACCCAACAAATAATTGCCACATTTCTATTGAAGGTAAACACTTACCCCGGATGCCCCAAATTTAGGATTCACATTTCCTTTTAGGGAACAAATGTGCCGGGCCGTCGGGAATTATCTCTCTGCTACGCTATATATGCTATATATTTGGCTTGCTCTTCAATTGAAGGGCATTCAGGTGACATGTCTAGATATTCTCATATCATTGTAACTCTTAGAATAACTTGGAAGATTTTGACTTATTATAAGTGGGATTTTTTTTTTTTTTGCAAAATTTATGATTCGTTCGGTGTTGAGTTCTGTTGTAATGAGACTTTGATGGATAGGGTCGAGATCTCTTCAATCTTCACCTCATGTCTGATTAAAAAAGGGTATAGAGTAGTTACTAGAAACATTTTATACTTGTGTTTGCAACTCAACCTATATTTGGCAGCTGAGAGTGCTAAGTGACATTGTAATGCTGAGTTTATATGCATGTGAACTACTCCATAATAACTATGTCTCCTTGCTCTATTTGCCTTGACAAAAAAATCCACTACATGGCAATTTGGGGTGAGAAATGTGGAATATACAGCAGGTGCTTACTATATATAGCTTCCTCAATTGTTATTCTATTCTTTAAGATGACTACAATGTACAAATTGCAGATTAGTTCCACAATTTTTAAAGATATTTGGTTTAGATTGCCATTGAATGAGTGTGATCTTGTTTTCTGTTATAGGGCCTTGATACAACACGATTGGATGGTGGGAAGTCTCTATTCCAAACAAAATGGTCAACAGGTTATTATTTCATATCACTGGATTTTCGTTCAACGGTAATTTTTTGAATTAGTTGTCTTATTTGCGGGAAAAAAATAGAGTTTTGTTTCAAACATTGTGTTTGTCCAAAACAAAGCCAAGTGTGAGAAAATAAAACTAATATCTCGTGCAGTTTGTCTGAGCATTGCGAAAAAAGAGTCATAGACAAGTTACATATGATAAATTCTTTTAAACCATCAAAAAATAAAATTAAAAAAAAAAATACAAGTATGATTTATGATGGTTGGATTGTACCAAAAATAAAAGGTTGTACATTGGCCAAAGAAGCTCATTGTTTAAGTAAACTTCTGCATTTTTATTTTTTATGTAACTCTTCCAATGCTCACTAACTTTCAGTCATTCATTCATATAACAGGGAGGCTTCTGATGGCCAGCAATTGGAACAGAGGCGTTGCCAATATGAACAGGGACAACGGTCATTGTATCATCAGACCCACAACACATTTTCCCCTACACATTTCAAGCGATTCTGATATAGGCTGCCGTTGCACCGAAATGAGCCTTTCTGGCTTTTGGGTGGGTCCTGGTGTTGAAGACGGATGGGGTTTTGTTGAAGCAATCGTGTATAGAACGTATTGATTTGCAGTTGCACAAAAGTTTCTATCAAAACGCGGTTTCCTTTTTTAGGAGGGTTTAGAAAGCGGTTTCGTGTTTGTAGATGAAGATATATAACCCAATGCTTCGCAACTCCTTAATTTTAGACCTCAATATTAGGGTATATTAAGAGGTTAAACCAAACCAAACAACCCGGTATATCATATGTCTCAATTTGACTTCACGGAGTTTAAGAAAAGTGTTAAAAAGTAAATAAAATGAGTGGTTGAAATTTGATTAGAGGAAAGAGAATGGTCGTAGATCACATATTCTTTAATTTATTAGGAAAGTAAAGAAGTGAAGTAATTATATCGAAATTAAAGTAAAAAGAAAAATGAAATGATTAATTTTGAATGGAAGAATAAGGGTATGTTTGGATTGAGGTAGGTAAAGTTTTATTAGATGGGTAATAGAAGGTAGGTAATAGAAGGTAATAAATTAAAAATTGTGTTTGGATATTTATTAGGTAAGTAAGGTAGGTAAAATAATGAAATTACCTAAATACCCTTGAATATAGCAACAAACGAAAAAATAGAAAAACAAAAAAATAGGAAAAACAGCAAAAAAATAAAAAATAAAAAAAATAGAGTGAAGTTGCTTGGCCGAAATGCAAACAGTGTGACCATTTGAAAACAAAGATCCATGACGATCGGGAAAAAGACGCCGGCATGGAGAGGTCAAATGACGACTCTGGATCTGATTCAGGCCGGCAATAGCGGAGAATTGAAGCTGGGACGACATCGCCGCCATCTTTACAGCTCCGGAGATCCGGTAAAAGGGGCCGTGATATTTGGTTTGCAGCCCTAGAGATGAAGAAGTGGGCAGCAAAGGGTTGAATCAATTGAAGAAGAAGAGGTGCGAGTGTGCGACAAAGGAGAAGGGCAAAGCGGAAAAGAAAAGTTCTACCTCCCTTGACCGCCGATTCGGAGGTAACCCATTTTTCACTATTCAGCGGTAACGTTACCTCCTTCTACCTTCTCTTACCCATCTTCCATTTCACCCCAAACAAGGTAACTTATCAACTTTACCTTACCTTACCTCCCCCTACCTCCAACCAAACACAGCGTAAGGCTCTCATATTAGGGCTACCGAGGGTTTGTTTTTGAAGTTGTACACGAGTTTTGGTTAACTTGGCAAGAACTCTAGCATTTTAAAAACTATTTAAGAGCACTGGGTATACTCCTCACACCCACCGGCGTTACGGGGCGTTTAACGCCCCGGGGGCGTGAAACACCGCCCCCGCCGGCGTTAAACGGGCGTGAGGAGCCCTGCGTCATTCGTTTGACGCGGCGTGACTCTTGCGCGGCTCCCTCCTAACGGCTAAAAAAGCCGTTGCAGCCCAGATTTCAAAAAAAAAAAAATTTTCCTATAAATTCATCCCCCCAAACCAATCTCTCACACCTTCTCTTCAATCTCTTCTTCTTTATTATTTTTAAATTTCGAAATTCAAACCCCCCTCCCAATTTTCAACATGAATCCTTCCGGCTCCGGCTTCTTTCCCGACGATCTCCCGCCGAGTGACGCCGCGATGTGGTTCTACCAAGAGTGGGGCGATCGACCGCCAATCAATGAGACGCAACAATCGGGGTACGTCGACCGAGATTCGGTTCCGGAGACTCAACCGGAACCGTCCGGATCGAAAAAAAGTACACGCCGGAAAAGTCACAAAGCCAAAAGCACGTTGACCGAGGCAGCACGGTCAATCAAAAAGTGGTCACCGGAGGAGGAGTGCATATTGGCGTCGGCTTGGGTTGACGTCTCCGAGCATCCTATCATTGGTAAAAAATTTATTTTTTCTAATATATTTATGTTTTTATTTATATATATTATATTTAATGGTGTCTAAAAAANCCGCCGGCGGGTCGGAGCGTTTTCCGGCCAACTCCGGCGAAATTGACGGCGGGAACCAACTCCAATGCGGTCGTGGCATCCGGGCGAACTCCAAGGACCCCTCAATTGCAAGATTTGATGACGATTTGCAAAACCCCCATTTTGGACCCAATTTCGATTTTAGGGTTTTTTCGAGTAGAAAAATTCAGATTCGAGAATTTACAGGTAAAATTAGACAAAATGGTTTGGATATTATTGATCCTCGTCTCAAGACGAAGAGAATGACATTGGTCCCGCCGGAATCGGAAAAAGTTCATTTTCCAGCGACTTTGACCGGCGGGCGGCGGCGGCGGGGCCTGGAAAAAAAGAAAAGAAGAAATGGGGTTAAATTGAAAATTTTAAAATATATAAAATTCGAATTTGGCCCTAATGACCGGAAGTTAACCTAGAAACGGGCTAATGGCTCATTAGTGAAAGGATTGTGTAAGTTCAGGGATTTTTGTGAAAGGATTTGAAGTTCAGGTACCACTTCGAAATTTCAGCTAAAGTTCAGGTACCATTAGTGAAATTTACCCACATTAATAGCGTCGAAAAGGACACTCGAAACAGCCGCCCACCCACAGTTGCCCGTCGCCGCGACTCATGCCCGGCGGGCCCAAGCCAGTCTTGACCGTATGTCACGCTTTTTTTCCATGTCCACCCTTTACAATGATAAATCCTATCCACTTACGTTTATTGTTTTTGGTCTGGCCCTACCTTACGTAGATATAATTAATTAAGAATTTAATACTTTATCTACTTTCTCCACAAGGATCTCGATGATGTCGGGACTCGGGATTCTCATATCTACCGTGTAACATTATTTTTTGGGGAGTGTTACATCAAGTTTTTTTTAGTAAAAACAATTAGAACAGAATCGGTATTGCTAATATTGCTTGATATATGTTCCAAGTCATCAAAGATTTAACAAAGCTAAGCTATATATGCACATTTTTTCCAGGGTAAATTCTAATACAGTGTATAATTTGGAAAAGAAAAGACTAGACCGAGATCAGGACTACTTTCATAACCTCTTGTCAGTATTGCTAACCTCATGATCAAGTACACACGTCTCACCCTTCCTTTTAAATCACACTTCTTCTTTTTCCATGATTCCAATCAATTTGTGGGTCCCTTTAGTGTTTATAACATTGGCCTTGGTCCATATAACAATTAATGGACCTTCTCATTAATAAAAAAATTAAATAAATAATATTTGTCTAAAAATTTTGAAAATATTTTGCCGTGTAGAAGATTGATAAATTCGCAAGTAACATTTAGTTCTACCAAATAATTTATCTTTTCTGTGAAATTAGAAGAATCATTTTTATAGTGTTTTTAGATGCACATAAATAATGGACTAAAAATACTAGCACTCTACATTTCATCCTTCTTTCTATCTCTATATCTAATATTGCTTGATATATGTTCCAAGTCATCAAAGATTTAACAAAACTAAGCTATATATGCACATTTTTTACAGGGTAAAATAAATTTGTTCGGGGAGTATTGCAAATTTAATTGCAAAATTAAATTAATGAATGAACCAACACAGTGAGATACAAAAATTGTGGGAGCAATTATTTGTGACCAATTATATATTGAATTCTACTTAGGCCGCAATCATACTCATTTAAATACTAATTCGTCTGCCCCAAACAATATTTGACAGTTTGACTTTCACCGAATTATATACAAAAAAAAATCTTCCTCTGTTTTAAAAAAGATCTTCACAGTTTAATTTTTTGGTCAAATTATTGCGCACTTTGACTATAAGTTAAATATAATTTTAACTAATTAAATATTATAAACCTTTATATTTCAAAACTATATTTTGAAATAAATCTAATTTTACTAAATTTATATTACAAGTAAATATACGTTTTCCATTATTCATGATCAAAAGGTTATACAAGTTAAAATGAGACAATTTTTTTTTGAGAGTGGAACTATGAATGATATACTCCTGATGCTAGAACAATGTACTCCGTATCAAATATTAACAACAAATGCATAAAGTTATTTGTATTTCAAGGATTCGTACCCCATTAGTACATTCCAGGTGTACACCAACATTTTGTGTTGGTGTAATGCTAATTTTTGTTAAAGCATTAACTATGTAGGTGTAAACTTTTGTCAAAGTACCAATACTTTGCGGCAGTGTGAACTATCAAAATGTTGGTATATATTTTCAGTGTAATTTTGGAATAAATTTTGGCTTAAGTATAGCATAGTTCAAAATAAATAGGTATTTGGTAGTCCATTAACTTTCGGTGACGTTTACCGCCTCCTTAGTAGGCCTTATCATTTGGTCTAGCCCGGCGTAAATAAATTGAGTTTTTTTGTTTGTTTGAGGACTCATTCAATTCGCTTTTAAGATAGACCACACTAGCGATGAATCTGGACATGCGTCATGTTCATATTCATTGGGGTTTGGAAATTGGAACCACTCGGTAAAAAATCATACTCCGGGAGAATAAAAAAATAGGCCCCATTTGTACCTCACTTCATTGAGTTCATTCCTACCATACAAAAACAGGAGAGAACAAAAAAAGTAAAAATTTACATCATTACTTCAAAAATTGCATAATTTACATAAATACTACGAGATTTAATAAATGACACACATGCTCCCAGAATTTTCGTATGTTTACATGATTACATCAATACTCCAACGTTAAAATATGTTTACATCGTTGCCCCAGCATTTGGAGCATAGATATAAACATTAATGAATTCTTAGAGGCGATGTAAACATATGAAAATTTTGGGAGTATTGATGTCATTAATTAAATTTCGGAGTATTTACATAAAATTGTGTAATTGTGGGAGAAATGGTGTGAATTTTTCCATAAAAAAATAAAAAAAGAAATAGAGGGTGAAGACTCAAGATGCATGGTGGTCGGTGGACAAACACCATTTGGTATACGTATACCCCTCTAGCATTCCTCTTAAACATTTATTTAAAAGATGTGTTATACGAAGTACTCATCTTCAAACTAATTTCTTGGTATGCTTTACGATTTTTTATTTAAGTTATTTAAATATTCATGTGTAATTTAAAAAAAGATAAAGTTTACATAGTTAAAATTACATTAGGTAGTGTTTGGCAATTAAGATTTCATTTTAATTCATGTATTTCAATTTCAAAATTTGAAATCTTGAATTTCAAATGACATGGGGAGGCGCATGAATTTAAAATTAAGTTTTGTTATGAGTGAGAAGAATTTGATTCAAATCCAAATTTAAAATTTGTAAGTTTCTCAAATATGGAATTTGAGGCAAATCCAAATTTAAAACCCAAATCCACGTTCTCAAACATACCATTACACTTTTAGAATTTTATATAAAATGTTAATAGGCCGGTTCCCATGACATTTCTGAATGTCATGGGATGACCCAAGAGTGTTTCGGTATCTCATTCATAAAATTTGAAGGTTTGATAAACCCTAATCCTCGAACACACCCCAACCCCTTGAATTGAAGGCCCAAATTAATATTCATCGAAGATGTTGTCCCACCATAAATAACAAAAGACAATATATCGAGGCCATCTTTGTCCATTCGCCACATCCCCTGGATATATGTGTGGTCATGAATTGAAGCAGGTGGGAAGCTGTAGATCTAAAGCGCTTGATAAAAATCATGAATCCTAATTATTTATTTATTTATTTATTTAAATAGTTTAGATTAAAGGTTGAAATGGGTCAGTAATAAATAATATCTCAACTTAAAAAAGAAAAGCATTAAATAATTAATTAATGGGAGAAAATTAAAGCGTTGATGAATATAATTAATGATCAGATTAATTGTGATGGAGGGAGGGTGCGTACCATGAAGGAGAGGCCGGAGACGCTGGCCCAGGAGTTGGCGAGGTTAGCGGCGGCGAGTGGGAGGTCGCCGAGGTGGCCGACGAACATGACGGAGACGAGAGTGATGAAATAGAAACAAGTGTTGGTAAGGATCATGGGTAAGGCGAACAAAATCTGATTCTTGGCTTCTTCCTTGTTGTCCATCACCGCCTCCTCCTTCACCACCCACCATCCTCTCTCCCCCTCCGCTCCTGATGATTCCTCTTGCAACAGAGGACTTGTTATTAATGCCCCCGGACTAGACATCATATATATATCCCTCCTCCTCACACCTCTCTCTTCTATATATCTTTTTCGATCTCTTTGTTTTTTTTTTTATCCCACTGTGTGTGTGTGTGTATGTATCCTTTTTTATAGCTGAATTCTGAAATTGCAATTTTTCTTTTGTACCCCATGAATCCGATTTATTTATAACAATATAATTCACGTGGTGCGTTTTTGGGCCCGGGGAATTGTGGAGCCATTCTCTCTAGGGAACGCAATGTGCCCATATCGATTTTGCAAGTCCTCCTCAATTAATTTCTAGGGAGAAGACCTTATTAGGAGAGAAAAAGAGGTGTCATATCTTTAGAATAGGAGTTTAAACTTAAACTCTCGTAAATAAGAGTAATTAAACATTTAAACTCCCCTCCTTGCACAAACAACCTCCCTAAAATGATCACAACACCTCCATACGCTCACATAATCACATGGAGGTAATGTGCGTACAACTAGTGTAAATCATGAGTCCTAATCATTTCTTGCACCAGCTTTTCCAATCATATATTTGATAGCTCCTTGTTAAATCAAACTGCCATGCAATAACAAATGCCCTCGAGAGAGAGAGAGAGAGAACCGAGCAAAATACAAGAGATGTTTTACTCTTATTTAAAAGGTTTTCTTTTGTTGGTATTATAGCTTTGATTACACTTTGTATAAAGAGTATTTTTTTACTGTGGCGACGATGGCAGATCCTTGAGGTGTCACCGGTGACATAGGCGAGCTAGATGAGTTTGATGTAGGAAATCACCGACAATAGAATAATTATATGGCTTTATTTTTGGCCAAATCCTTCTTCTATCATCTCTTGTATTTTGCTCGGTTCTCCCTCTCGAGGGCATTTGTTCTTGCAAGGCAGTTAGATTTAACAAGGAGCTATCAAATATATGGTTGGGAAAGCTGGTCCAAGAAATGGTTAGGACTCATGATTTACACTAGTTGTACGCACATTACCTCCATGTGAGCGTATGGAGGTGCTGTGATCATTTTAAGGAGGTTCTTTGTGCAAGGAGGGGAGTTTAAATGTTTAATTACTCTTATTTAAGAGAGTTTATGTTTGAACTCCTATTTTAAGGATATGACACCTCTTTTTCTCCTAATATGATCCTTCTCACTTAATTATGTTATTTTAACAAATATTTAATGAAAATATATCAAGAAAATAAACAAATGGTTCGTGTGGACTACGAAGAGGTGGTTCAATTATAAGTTTTTTTTATCAATAAAGGCAATGCTATAGTGGATCTAAGATCCACACCATTTTAGGTGACCTTCATTATGAAAATAAACAAATGCTTATAAGCATTTATTTTTTGCAAAAAAAAAAAAAGAAAAAAATTTTCGATTTGCCCCAAATTAAATTGCCTATTTATTATTCACATGGTCAAACTTTATTGACTTTCTTTCCTTATTTTCGTTAGTCATTTGATAAAGTAATATATTAATATTACCACTAGTTTTGTAGGTCTTTTGATCTAGTTTTTAAAATATGTAATTTTTATTTTTTAATTTTACACTATTTTTCATATAAATTGATTTAAAAATAATTTCAATCAACATCGTAAATTGAAACAAACAATTTAAATTGCGTGCTATTTTAATCCCAACATTTGAACCACATCCTTTAATCTCATTCTTACAAACACTACAGACATTCGGCACTGTTCTGTGTCTATAATATCTGTAAGAATGGGGTTAAATAGTGGAATTCAAATGTTGGGGTCAATCAAGCATAACCCTATTAGTGTAGACTGTAGACCTCAGATCTACCTAAGAAAAATAAAACCTTGCAAGCCTGACAAGATCTAAACTTAAATTTTGACAACCACCACGACTTGCTTAACAGAAAAACAAGCCCGAGTCGCCCTATTTTTAAAATTAAAAAATTGAACTCGTCCTTCACTCGCGCCTCAAACCATGCGATTTAGTTCTGGCTCACGGTTGGAGGCGCGTATGCCCACCCTTAACTCTAGGTACTCTTAGCAAAAAACAAGTTGGTATACTGCACATCTAGACGTACCATGCTCTAGGTACTTCTGGCGATTACTCATTTAGGAGTAGCCAGAATGCTCATTTCACATAATCGTTTTGTGTACCCTGCAAATTCATTTAGGAGTAGCCAGAATGCTCATTTCACATAATCGTTGTTTTGTGTACCCTGCAAATGTTGATTCGCAAGAAATAAAACACTCATTTTCACGCATTCGAAAATGCATGTATAGTTGTATACACATTTGAAAGCCACAAAATATTCATTAAAGTTATACTCCGTACAAAATACGGAAGATCAACATAATACTTTTTCAAAAAAAGAGTAACATAATACTCATTTCATGCATGGGTACAAACTCAAAATACTACCGGAAATGCTGCAAGAAGCCGACCATAACCGTGCCACTGCAAATGATAGGTACGGTTCCACGCACGGAAGTTGTCGCCCAGTGAGTCATTTGCGCTGCATATGAGCTGCCGTCGCCTAGGGTCAGGTCACTCTCCCTGGGCCCTTCTCTTCATCGCAGGTCCTCATGGGTTTTTGCTGGTCTCTTCATCGCGATCTATCACCACAACTTCTTTGGTACATGATGTACTCAAAGAGAGGTACATCCAGTTGAAACTAATAATTTGCGTTTAATTGGAATATGGTAACACGACAGAAACCATCTCAAATTTGCCACCTTCCCAATCTCTATTGGGATCTACTGAAACCATAAACTTCAACGGACTGTTCTTCTCTTTCTGCAGTAGAGTCTTTAACAGGATTAGCCAAATCAAGTACCAGTTTGGTTTCACATCAACTTCATGTCCCAAGCAGTTATCATTGCCAAATGAACGAGGCTTAGCAGTCTCCAGACTTGCACTATTTGAATTAAGAGAAGCTGCATCATCAAGAGTTTTCCAGAGCTTTTGCCTTTGATTGCTTAGGTATACTTCCTCGGCTTTGATGTTTCCAAACAAAAGCTCCGCGGCCTTGTTTGTAACAATAAGCGAAGTATAAATCGAATCATCCCACACATACAGCTGCAAAAAAAAGAACTTTTAAAACAGATTAAATATGTGCCTTGTTCTCTCTCTTTTGGCTACCTGCCTCTCATCTCTCAGAACCATGAAATCGGTTACTGCTCCTACCTCGAGTAATCAGTAGTGCCTGTGGGCGTTGTGATGGGAAAACCCATGCTCCGTGTCCCACAAAAGCTTCCCTCCATTCTATTTTCTTTATCTGTTCTAAAACTATTCCTCACTTTTCTCTTTAGCTTCTTGGAAAAGAGTCCAAAATATCTTTATCTAGACGAATTCTAACCACTCACATTTCAACACCGTTTCAAATACTTCTTTAACAGTTTTCTTAATCTCCGTCAAGTCAAAATGGGAAAACTAATTACCATGCACTTGTCCAAATCCTTTGGTTTCTAATGTTTCTCTAAAGTGTTTCAAATTTTTCTAATCCTCCATCCGACTGGGAATTTCCATCTTTAACATTTTGAGTCAATTATGCTAAACCTGGATCATTGATATATTTTTATGAAAAATATTCATAATTTGTAAATAGTATAAAAGTATCTGTCAAAGTTTGCCATAGGAAAAATCTAAGCAAGACATAGGGAGTATAAAAAAGAGCAAGGGAAGACAAAGGGGAGGCATGTGAAGCTATTGATCTAAAAGCTAGTACAATAATGTGATTCTATTCTAGACTTCAACCACACCTACCATGCATTTTTATGATTAACATCTTTATTTGCCAATGGAATCATTGCGGTAGGGTTGAACACAAAGAAAAGCTGAATCCCCAACATGAACTGATATATCATACCATTTAGAATCAGCATGGTTGGCAATCCTTGGGAAACCAATTGAGTTAGGCCATTTTTCTATGGGTATGATATGTGCTCACCACGAGTTGAGCTTGGCTCAACAGTTCGTGCAAAAAACTGCTTAGAAAGACTGCATCATGAACAGAAACAATCTTATATTTCCCATGTAAATGAACAATACCACTGTGGAAGAGGGCTTCAATTTATTTACCCGTGAATGGATGAGACAATGGGATGAAATGAGTATATTTAGAGACCGTCCACGATCACCAGGATGTTCACATACGACTTGGACTCCAGTAAGCTCTCAATGAAATCAAGAGAAATATCTTCTCACACTTCGTTAGGAATAGGTAAAGATTGAAGAAGAACACATGCAGGAGGAAGAGTTTGGTATGTATTCTGCTTACATTGTAAACAATTTAGAACCTGGTGATGTATTTCTTGCCTTAATCCAGACAAATAAAATGAGTGAATAAAATCTTATGAGAAGAGACAAATGTCTTGCTGGAGTGTGTTAAAAAAACCACTATGACCTGCAACTGGGGTATTATGAGCTTCTTAAAGCAGCTTTTGCTCCAAAATTTTATAATCTAGGATAATCAAACGATAATGAAATAAAGTAAATGATCCAGCCATAGAGAATCTGGGCGAGACTCAGAGGGTCAGATGCCAAAGTAAAAATCCCATTGATATAAAAATCAACTGCAAGAGCACCTGTAAGTCAGATAAATCAAGGCTAAATGGTATAGCCAAAGCGAACAGTCAGCAGGTAGGGGCGGACAAGACATGGCATTAGCTCCTTGATTTTCTTTCCCACCACGATAAGAAATAGTGATATTAAAGGGAAGATGTCAGATAGTTGTAACTGTTGCTTGTAGGTGAGAACCTATGTTCCATAAAAAAATTAGGACATATGCCCGAACAAAAAAAATGTCTCCCCGATAAATAATGTTTCCGTAAAGCCAATACTAAAGCAAGCAATTTGTGGTCATAAGCAGATTTAAGCCTATTAGAGAAAAGAAATCCCCTACTATAATAGACTAGTTGTTCATGTGAAAGGTCGAGGAAACTCTGGTAAGTGCATAACTGGCACAGTAATGAGGAATTGTTTCTGTCGGATGAATGCTTCTTCTTCAGGTCACATGAAAGCATCCTTCTTGTAACTAATCCATAGTTTCTGAGAAACCAGCCAAAATAACCAGTTAGTCTTAAAATACTTTCACCTCTCTAACATTAGAGGTAGCCCAGTTAGTCACAGAGTCCAAGTACGACATGCAACTTACAATCTACTAGTACACCCCGAAGAGGTTTAATTAGTTTGCTCGTAGATCAGAACCCTACGTTCCATAAAAAATCTTAGGTAATCTTCCCTAGTAAAATAATATCTCCGCAACAAATAATGTTTCAATTTCTGTAAAGCCAATACAAAACAAGAAATTCACGGTCACAAGTAGATTTAAGCTTATTAGAGAAAAGAAATTCCACACTATAATAGTCTAGTTATTCCTATGAAGGGCCGAGGCAAATCTGGTAAATGCATAACTGGCACAGAAATGAGTGCTTGTGTCTTTTTAAAGGATGCTTCTTCCTTAGACCACATGAAAGCATCCTTCTTGTATCTCTCTTTGGGAGATCAGCCGAAAACAGAGCAGTAACTCAATAGTGTCTCACAAACCAGCAATAATAACCAGTTAGTCTTAAAATCATTGTACCTCTCTAACATTAGACGTAAGTCAGTTAGTCATAGAGTCCTAGTACGACATGCACAACTTACAAGTATACAGACAAGGGGTTTAGGCTTCGTTCCGTTCGTCTAATATGATTGGTTCTGATATGATTTTTTTAAAGTCTGGTCTGATCAGAATGGATCTGATCTGTTCTAATAAGAACATGTAATAAGCAAAAAAAATAAGTTGAACGAAATGTAGCCTTAATTACTTTTAGAACCCTACATTGCACAAGATATTTTAGGTCATCTGCCCATGCAGAAAAATGTCTCCCCAAAATAATGTCTCTGTTTCTGTAAAAAGTCTATGAAAAAACAAGCAATTCACGGCCATAAGCAGATTTAAGGATATTAGAGAGAAGACATCCCCTACTACGATAGACTAGTTATCCCATGAAAGACCGAAAAACATCTAGTAAATGCATCACTAGCACAGGAATGTGGGATCAATCAGATGCCAAGCACTAATTCCACAATTTCTAACAAACCAACAATAATAACCAGTTACAACATGTTCTTTTGGATTAGAAAAACAGAGTTGAATGATGGAAGAAACCGGAAAAAACTGGAGCAGTTGATCCCATTTTAAGAACTGGAAGGAAGACCCATTAGACTCCAAACCACCACCCCTGGGATTGTCGCTAGCCACATGAGGCACCAGCCTGAGGGGGAAGAGTTTTTGAGAGGTTACCAGCCAGAAGAGTCTTGGTACACAGCAGGGTATGCCTCAAAATGTATCTACAATAACAACATTACCCCAGTGCCTCAAAGGCTCTTGCCCATTGCGGGGTAAGGGAGTGTCGGATGTACGTAACCTGACCCCTATGTTTAAAACATAGAGTGGTTTTTTCCGGATGACCCATGATGAGCGTCGAAAGTTGCATTGAGTAAACTATTCAAAGAAGCAGAGACAATTAAAGAGCCATTTTGCTCTATTCCATCATACCCCAAAGCCAAAAAATAGTGAATCTTTGGCTCCATCAAAGATTATGGAAATGCCTCAAAATGTATCTATTGATAATACATTTATATCATAAGTCGATGTATGTTTTTAACACATTGTGGTCAAAGTTTAAAAACATTGACCATGAAAAGACAATTATGAAGAAAGATACCGAACGGAGGGAGTACTATATTGTTTTAAACATTTTTATGTATTTTTACCATTACTCTTTTTTTACCACGTCAAAGAGCTAAGGTCAATCCAAAAATCCAAAAATGCCTAATACTTTTTTACCGAAGTAACCAAACACCCTGAAAGCTTTGGGATTTGGTAGTGGTAATTCTATTCATTCTTGTACACTTCTATGAATTAAAATCATAATTTGTTTCTTGTGTGAAATTGGCCATGAAATGGTCAAGGGTCCTAGCAAACAAATGTTAGAAACTATGGGTATAACTTACCAAGAAAGGTCTATATATGTGGCGTGACACATGAAGGTGATTTGAGCTTTTCTGACAATAGAACTGAGAGGCCACAATCAAGGTTGATCTGTTACATACAAATCAAGAATGCTTCATAATATTAATGAAAATGGAAATTTAACAAGAGAATGACTACCACTTTCATACCCATGTTCTTGATTCAAAGGAATACCACACAGATGACAGCCAAGAGCAACAAAATCATCAACCAAGTTATTATCTGCATGTGTGTAAAGCCTCCTACTAATGAACATGAATTCAGTCTCAGGTTCATGCTGGTTCCTACAGGATATTGGCAGAAATATTTCACCAACAGAAGCGTAAAAGCTTGCCTTGCAGGAACGAGAAAGCCTACATAATTCTTCAAGGGAGAAGCAATCCTGATATTTTGTCTCTTTATGTAGCTTCCAGTTTATTTGCAACGGTATCCACTGCAGAGTGTTATATGGAGTAAATGAAATCAATCTTTTTAAGCGATTGAAGAACATACAAATAATATATTTTTCATATTACAAGAGAGGGACTTGAATCTTGAGAAGAATTTAAATGCAATGAATCAAGCACGTTTCTTTAAATTAAACAATGAACATGAAATGACAGAGATCAAATATAGAATAGAATATGCATTTACAGAATTTATTATCTGCCCAGAATCATATCCAATGTAGGAGTGCTATTTTCCCGATGATTGTTTTGAGCATGGGAAGAAGGTTTCAACTATGTAGACTTCACACAGCCCCCTCTGAGAGTGTGTATTTCACTCTATGATTTATGTAGCAATGCATGTGATCATAAGCAAGAAAGAATATTTTAACTCCCTTTGTGACTAAAAGCATACTTGACAGTAGCTTCTTCCACCATTTCCATGCACATCTGCACTTCTCTGTAACCATTTGATAACTTTATGAAGCTTACTCTTTGCTGATGTACTAAGTTGGCATCCCGCTACTGCATCAGTAATATCTACAAAGAAAGGATACATGAGCTTCCATGACTGGAGCAAGTTTTACGCTAGCTTTTCTAGTGATTGTCAATACGGTGATAATAAGAAAAAGATATACTTTAGGACATGGGTAGCAAATATAAACACATAACTGAAGGATGGGCATAAACCTGTGACAAGGAATCACTCTTGTATTGATCGTTAGATCATGTTAAGAGTTTTCCGTGAGTAGAAGCAGAAAATTAAAAAATGAAAGTGAACAGGAAATAGACGAATTGACTAACTGAGATGAGAATAGTTGAATTGATTATAATTAAATCATTTCTCACATCCACATAATTACTCAAATGGTGGGGTTCAGACAAAAACCAACAAAATTGGGAATGCTGGAAAAAATAGGTAAAAAGTAATAATGATGTCCCACACTGCTGGCATGTGATGCTAAGCTAGAGAACCTCCATTTATTTAAACTGCACTGTTTATTCTGGGACATGGCATTCCCTTCTCCTTAACGGGATCCTTGCCTACACGGATCAACTTTGCAAACTTCAGTTAGATATCTTCTATATCTTTCCAGGTCGCCTCCTTAAGTGACTAGTTGTTCCCTTAGTGAACACAACCCCTAGCCCAGTATGGCATGCATCTGTTTCAACAGTAAATGGAACAGAGAAGTCGGGTAGTGCCATGACTGGAGCTGTAGTCATGGCTTGTTTCAGTCTTTCAGAGCATTAAATGCAACACATTTTGTACATCTAAAGGAGTCTTTTCTCAGTAGATCCGTCAATGGTTTAATGGTTAGTCCATACCTAATTTTTAATTGAAAATATCCATACCTTAGATAAGGTTTTGAGTATGCATGTTTTAGAGTAAGTGAATTGTAATACCTGTAACTCAGTCACATATTCCATCCCCCATCTTTTTTACTAGCAACGCATGAGATGCAAAAGAACTAGTACTAGGCCTTATAAATCCCAAATTCAGTAGTTTTCTCACAATTCTCACAATCTTTTGAGAATGTGGATATATGTATTGGGCTTGCTTCCTGGGCTCAGAATGTTTTTTTTTTAAATTCTAGTTGGTGCTCAATCTCCTGGGAAACTTTAAAAGTTCTTGGAAGAATCAAGATGCCTGAATATTTCATGACCATGGATTGAAGGGAGTCCTCTATTACACCCACAATGTCGTCCACCACACTTTATGAGAAAATATGACCTATTGTCTCGGCCCTCTTCATAAAGAACTTTTGCATAGATTGTAGTGTCATAATCTTCAATCCCACTATTTCATCATCGGCTTTGGTAACCATTTTTCCCATGGAAGTAGAGTGTTATTTTCATATTAGTGTAATCAAACAAAATGGGTGTATAACCTTATAGCCAATCACTTCTCCCTACAATTTAACAGCCTTGCTATGCAATAACTCTAAAAGGAAACTGAAATGTGCTTCGTTGAGCCTCCCAAGTAAAATCTGGGCATATTGTTATACTAATCAATGTCCATCCATGGGCTTGAGCTGGGGGTCTCTTGGAAAAAAACCTCTCTACTTTCGAGTAGTGGTAAGGTATGCATACACACAACCCTCCAAGACCCTACTTTTTGTGGGATTTTACTGGGTTTGTTGTTGTTGCTGTCCCTACATGAGCTAGACTCACAACCATTGGCCTGGTCTCCTTAACAACACACCCCAATCTTCTGCAAGCTTGTCCATTCATAAAGCAATGACTACTTCCAGTGTCAATCATAAAGTAGATCTCCTGACCATTAACTTTCCCTTTGACCCTTAGGGGCTGTTTGTTTCAACCTCTTAATGGTTCAGATGTCTGAATGGTTCAGCACTTAATGGTTCAGACTGTTTGTTTCAGCCTCTTAATGGTTCAGATGTCTGAATGGTTAAGAGATTTGCCTCTGAATGGTTAAGTATTATACAGAGTCTGAATGGTTAAGACCTCTTATCTGAATTGATCAGACATTTGCCTCTGAATAGTTAAGCAATATACTAGCTCTTAATGGTTCAGACCTCTTATTGGTTCAGCACTTAATGGTTCAGACCTCTTACTGGTTCAGCACTTACCGATTCAGAAGTTGCCAAACAGCCCCTTAGTGTGTTAAGGCTATTTTCTCCTGGTAGAGCATTTAAGGATATGTTAAAATTCTCTTCCTCATTNCCTCTTAATGGTTCAGATGTCTGAATGGTTAAGAGATTTGCCTCTGAATGGTTAAGTATTATACAGAGTCTGAATGGTTAAGACCTCTTATCTGAATTGATCAGACATTTGCCTCTGAATAGTTAAGCAATATACTAGCTCTTAATGGTTCAGACCTCTTATTGGTTCAGCACTTAATGGTTCAGACCTCTTACTGGTTCAGCACTTACCGATTCAGAAGTTGCCAAACAGCCCCTTAGTGTGTTAAGGCTATTTTCTCCTGGTAGAGCATTTAAGGATATGTTAAAATTCTCTTCCTCATTTTCTACTTCCCCAACTTGTATGATATCCTCTCTTCTTCCTCAACCATCATGAGGTAAATAGGTCTGATAAAATGTATTGTCAGAGTAAAATATTGTCAGAGTTGCAGCAAAGATTATTCTCCCTGGAGGTTCTCATTTCTTCTACTGTGAGAAGTTTCCTGTCTGCAGTACAATTTTGGAAGTGGACAGGAGCAAATGTTTCTCTTTACTTGTAAAACTGTAGGTCCTACGCCCTTAATACCTCTGTTGGCCCTTTTTTGATGGGTTCAATCATCGCCTCATGCCCTATGCCACTGCATAGGCCTCTTGAAGTGGGCAAGATTTAGTAATTAGAACAAAACCTCTAATGTCTTCTCTTTGCTTAGTCATCAAGCACTTTAGCACATGTGACTCTACAAACTTATGAAAAACTGTTACATGCTTTAGTTCTTCAAAACTTATAATGTACTCAGCAACAGTGGTAATGTGTTTACAATCATGGATCTAAGCCTCGATCAGTTCTGAATCGACCTCATCAGATCAGAGCAATACCTTCTCAATTGATTTCTCCCAGGATACCAACCTTCCTCCTCAACAAGTATGATGTACTGATTTATGGCCTCCCCCATCCTTCTGCACCACCGCTAACAAAGACTTATCTTCCTCCGTAATTGCAAACATGATCTGGAAATACCAGTTGGTGCGAATAATCCAAGCTCTAGGATTGGTTCCATTAGACCAAGAAAATTCTTCCTTGAAGAAGGGGGAGAAGGCAAATCTACCATTGTGAGTAGCTTCATGAGGTGACTCTGGAGGTGTAAAGATGGAGCAGCTCGCATAAACAGTAATTGATCATCCTAGACTGAGTAACAATTTGTTTTTGTTGAGCAGCTGTAGCTGATCAAAGACGGCCTTAAACTATCCAATGTTCGAAATGGCGTATTGCGGTTTCGAGGCATTTTTTCATGGCGTATTGCATAAGCCTCAAGGCGTTTTGAGGCATAAGCCTCAATTTTTTAAATTGGAAAATGTCCATAAAACATTTCAAAAACTGAAGATAGAACATAATGTATAACATAAGTAATCCAGAAACATTAAAAAAGTAGATTGCCAAAGTAATACATCTCAAACACAACAAAGTCTAACATGGAATAAGACAAAATATTGGCCTAAGTGATGAACTTAAATTGAAGAATTGAACAAAAGTTCATCAGTGTCCAACGGCTTGAAACAAAAAAAAACACCAATTAAAACCTCCAGCCATAAGCAAGAAAAATTGAATGCTCCTTCATAAAACCATAAGCAAGAAAACTTTTTTAACAAATTTAGCAAGAATTTTTTTTTAACAAATTTAGCAAGAAAATAATTTTAACAAATTTAGCAAGAAAATAATTCAATACTCCCTTATAAATCATCCAGTTGTAAGCCATCACCCATTCGTATACCTTTTACCGGAAAAAAAAGGAATCGTACCTACTGCTGAATCGCGATGGAGACGGAAAACAGAGAAGCAGAGAGGGCCAACGCTATGAAGAAGATGAATCGCAGGTTGGTAATAGCAACAATTAGTGTCGCAATTAAGGTCATCGACAAGGCAATTTTAAAATATATACACTTAATTTGGGTAATTGACAACTTTAACCTTGATTTTCTAATTTTTAGACGGTAAATGGTGTACGCCTCATTGCGCGCACCAGTGCATACGCCCCGTGGCGTAAGTCTTTAAGCGAATTGCTCAAAATGGCTAATTGCGTGAATCGGGATACGCACCAGGGCAGTAATTTCCGGAAAAAGTTCTATGGCGCGCCTTGAGGCGGGTTTAGGTTTTGCAATTTCAAACATTGAAACTATCCTAAACCAAATCCTGATTCTTCATGGCGTGTTGTATGCATTTCAGGCCATCTTCATAAACTATTCCATCAAATCAATTCCCTCTGGGCTTTCTCCTTGATCCAAGTTTCTTCTAACCATTTTTGTGCTTCTGCCGGATCCTTGGATCTTGTGTTCATAAACGATGTGTAAGCAATAGTTCCCCGATCAGGATCGACGGCACTCTGATTTGAAATGTAATGATCATACTTTTCCATGAATAGAAGAAAAGTAAAAAGGATAGTGATGAGGAAATAGAAGAATGGAGATGAAAATAGGTAAATAACTATATTGATTGTTATTAATTCCTTTCTCACATCCACAAATTTACTCAAGTGCCGGAGTACGCAGAAATACAAAATTGGAATTGCTGAAAAAAATTGTAAAAAGTAATAATGATGTCCCGCACTATTCATGTGTGATGCTCAGCTCCATAACCTTAATCTATTTGAATGGAACTATTTATTCCAGGACATGACATAATATGTGAAAGCACCTAGGTAAGACAAAGGTATATGTCAACATCTTCCTTTCCAGACTCTGCATGGCAGCATAATATTTTTTTGAGTGGCATGACAACATAATATAAAATCCTTTTGACACAACATTACACCTTTTGTATATGGAGATACGGTAATCATGTAGTAAATTGGATTACTTGTATAGATGTAATTAGCTGGTCATTTGGGAGGTAAATGTAGGGGGATATATAATGATTGTTCCTCTATTATAGTATTACTCTCTCAATCCTAATTTAAGAATCATGTTTGCTATTGGAATGGCAAACTAACTCTTCTTTTTTCATTTTAGTAGGAGTATGAAATAGTTTTTCGTATTTGACAAAGTTTGACAAGGCTTCTATGAAGTTCCTAAAGAAATAGGTTTGTTTCATTGGCTAATAATAGTTTGATTTATGGAAAATAAATTGAACTTGAGCACCTGATGATCAAAACAATGTTGGAATGGGTTCATGTTCAGATATGTAGAGGAATGATATTTGAAGCTCGAGGCTCAAACATAGGTATTTGGAAAAAAACTGGAATGGGGCCAAATGAAACTAGTATTTTGCTGAAATGGCAGTGGTTGTGGCAGCAGAAGTGGCGGTGGTGGTGGTGCAATTATCGTGACAGTGGCGCTGATAATGGTGGGAGTTGTTTTGGTGGCAGTATGGATGATGGAAGTGCACAGGGTGTTCTAGACACCATCAAATAACTTCCTCATATGAGATAGTGTTCTAGACACCTCAAATGAGAGTGTTTAGAACTCCCTAGATTTCTAAATGTTAGAATATAAATAACTATTCTTGGGCCACAACCACAAGCTTGAGCTTTTGGTTGAGTTGGTTCCTTGACATGGTATCGGAGCCTCGTTGACTAAGAGGTCACGGGTTCAAAACTTAGCACCACCCAAATCAAAAAAAAAAAATTAAGGTTTCACGTGCAAGGCTTGAAAAAGACTACGCCTGCACGTGAGGGGGCGTGTTAGAATATAAATAACTATTCTTGGGCCACAACCACAAGCTTGAGCTTTTGGTTGAGTTGGTTCCTTGACACTAAACACAACTCTTATTTTGGCTCACCAAACACAAAAGCAAGGAATTTTAACCCCAAACTTCAAGTTATATTTCATTCCACCTTATCTCACCAAAAAGGACCTGAATCACATCCATACAAGATGTGGTCTAGATAGACACACAGCCAAACAATTTGTGAGGTAAGAATGTGTGGAGGGGGGAGCACTAGAAAACTTGCAATTAGAATGACATATTGAGAGTTTTAGTTATCATATGTACATTTCATTCTAGGTGTGATGCAAAGAGAAAGAACACCAACCATGTAAGGAAACCGGTCTACTAAAAAACTGATTTTTAATAGACGAAATCCCCTGTAAGTCAAAACTTAATCCCACTTGGCATGATTTTACATTCTGATGTGTAGCTAAATGCTTAGGATCACAAAAGGAATTATAGAAAATAATGCAGGAATTAGCATGGAGAAGTTTAATAAAATCTGATAATATTGGCATGTCACTGGTATGATTCTAAATGTATGATTACTAGCATGAGAGAGAAAAAGAGAGAACCTTCAGAAGGTAGTGATTGGTATGAGTTGACTAGGCATAAGATGGACGAACAATGAATAGTTTTGGCCTCCATGATGTCTCCAAATTTTGTAATTTTAACATCTGAAGTTTACAAACAAAAACAAAAACCATAAAATTTAATATCAAGAGGGAAGTGGAATGCACGTTACGGGGGGGGGGGGGGG